ATTGCGTTTCTGAACATTTTGTTGAACAGCCCCTGGCAAAAAGTATCCGAGCTAAGGGGTCGCTCGTCCCAGAAAAGAATTTTCTGCGCGAGTGCGCCTAGCGACTACTCTTTTGGGGCGCAGCGGCGGCTGCGCTCTTGATTTATACGGGCGGGAGACGCTCGGAACATATCCAAAGCGTTACGTCCCAGCGCTCGGCGCGCTTGGCCGCCGAGGGAGCGCGTTTCGATTAAGCGCTCCATAGCGCATCTACAAAGCTTGGGGTGATTTTCTGTTTAAAGCAATCATTTCTTCAGGAAGCGTCTTAATTCAAACAACAATTTGCGGCAAAGCGTATCCGAGCTAAGGGGCCGCTCGTCCCTGAGAGCGAATGTTCTGCGCGAGCGCGCCTGCGTTCACACAGCTTTCCATTAATCGCACCCGCGAAGTTCCGATTCGCATTCGACAGGGATCGCGGCTTTCCTTGCCAGCTTCCCGGCGTGGTGACCCTATGGTAGCCGTTTCATTTCAGCCCGAGACGTGACAAGAACTTCGTTGTTTTGCAAAGACAGCGCAAAGCCCACGGGCCCCTTCATAGCTCTGCGCCACGCAGCGAAGCCCTGTTCTGTCAAGGTCACCACGTGTTCCCCTGCTGCGTTATGTATATCGACCGTGCACATTTATATCGGGTTGCATTTACACACAAGATCGCGAACCTTTGCAGCTTGCGGCTCAAATGCGCGACCCGCTCCGCTGGACGCGTTGCGACTGCCGTGCGGTTGATTGCTCCCCGCCGCGTTTCGGCAGCCCACTGGCCTCAGTGTTCTGGCTTACCGTACATGGACTCGCCGTCAATTGCACCGTTCCTCTAGGCAAGGGACGCGTGCCGGCGATATGTCCAGCTGCGCGAAGCATGCCTGCGGATGGCCGAAGAACGGCTACGCCGCTCAAAACTCCGCACAACGCTGATGCGTCTCCTTGCCGCGCAGGCCCTGGCGGATGCTCGCCTGCAGGCAGATGGCGCTGCCTGCGCCTTGGCGAGCGCGCATGGCGAAGGCGTTTTCGCCTCGGCCGGCATCAGAACTCCGGTCGATTGTTTTTTTGGGGGGTGAGCCTCTCCCCAGAGAAATTGAGCGCTGGCCCGAGGACGCAGAGCCGCGGCAACGAGATTGGGCTTCTGGAGATCCTCCTGTTGATCGACTTGCATGGGGCGGCGGACTCCTTTTTGCAAAGCATTCGCAGTCTGCCAGTCTTGTCGAACACGCGCGCCGTTGATGCGCGCGAGAAGCGCCTCGAGACCGATTATACGAAGGCTATGGCGTGCCTGCAAGAGCACAGCCTCGACTTCGTCAGGCTCTGCCCAAGGCCGTCGGGGCGCGCGTCCTCGAGTTGGCCTACTCATGGCTCGTCGCTTGCGCTCTTGCTGTGGCTTTTGTCTTTGTTGTTGTCTTTATAACCTCCCTTGCCGCTGGCTCATCTCCTAGTCGGCACTTCATGCGTTTGCTCCACGGTGCCATTTGTTCAACGCTCTCGCGGAGATCTTTGGTGGTTTTTGTTTCGGGTGTTGAGAAGGGATTGGCGAATTCGTATTTTAGCTTCTTGCTTTGTCCGAGACACGCCGCGCTCCGCGCGAAAGTGGTCCAAGCATGAGTCCCACTGGCCCCCGCTCTGCAGGACGTCGCATGTGGCTGCTGCCTCCTGCATCGTGGCCATACTTTCGAGCGTCTCACACACGCCACCGAGATTCCTTTCGCCCCAATTCAAACCGTCTGGGCGTGCGTAGTCGTCGAGAGCGCGGGGGGTTCCACTGAACAGCTAACGCACGCGCAAACTCGGATGCGCTTCCAGGGCGCTGTCTTTCGCCATGCGCTCCAAGGCCTGCGCAAAGTGCTCTTCGGTCGCAGCGTTGATATCGACGCGCGCGCTCGCGTGCACTTGGCGCCAGTCCCCCTGGGCGAGGCGGGGCAGGCGCTTCGCCGCGACCGCATCCCAATCAACTTCGAGGAACAGCATCTTTGCCATGGCTTCGGGCGTCAGAGGTTTTACTCGCTCGATGGTGATTTTCGCTTTCGCCAGCGCCTGGCCGTCGTTGGCGATGCAGACGTCTTTGCATCCCGGCTGCAAGCGGGCAACGAAGGAGAAGTCGGTCTCACAGTCCGCGTTGCAGAGGATGTTCAATGTACGCGCGAGGCCGCCGCCGCCGGCCAGAGTGGGTGCGCCCCACCGGCTGTAGTTGATGACTCCTTGCGCGCGGTCGTGTTCAGCGCGCGCGAGCCCTGCGTCTCGCGCCGCCTGCTGCGCTGCGAAGCGCTTCCCCGTTCCGCTCGGACCGACGAGGGCAATGATGCGATCGGCTCCGCTCAGGAAGTTCCTGACGCGCTGGCGGAGCGTTGCCATCTCGGCCGCGGGCGCACTCTCCGCGCTTGGTGTCGTCGACCGGCAATCAGCCCGCGCGGTTCAGTCTAGCCCTCGCGGCGCTCTGACAGCGCTGGGGAATTGCTCGCAACAATACTTTCCTACGGGCTCGTTTTGGTCACGGGGCGAGTGAGCGCGCGGGTCTTCGTCGGGAATTGGCTCGTTATGTTCCGGAGCGCTCGGCCGCGTGAGCGCTTCGCGCAGCGCGGAGCGCCTTCTTGAACGCTCGGTCTTTTTTGGCTTCCTGGCTAAAGCGCGGCAGATGCGCGCTCCGCGCGGATGCGTCCGTTAACAAAAGGGGTCTGGCTTGGAGAGTTGCCACGCTTTTGGGTATGACACCTCCCCGCGGTCGACGCCCAGTGGGTTACTTCTGGGACGCCCGGAGCGCCTGCTGGCTCAGTTACACGACTGGCAAACCGCTTGACGAAGCGACGTACATGGATGGCGTCCGTGCCCGCCGTCGGGCGTGCGATCGCCGTCGGTACTGGGGCGAAACTTCTGGGGTTCGCCAGCGCCGAAAGGTGCGCGCGCGACTGGAGCGGAAACACCCGCCGAAGCCGCTTCAAAGCACGCTTGGGGAGTTGACGCTTCGATGCGTTGGACAGTTCGGGGAGTGACGAGTAGCGCTTCGCGCGGTGCGGAGCGCCTTGCGCGTCCGTTTGCCGCCTGGGCGTTTCGCGCCCGCTTTCAAAGCCGTCGGCTCGGAATCATTGACAACCGGGCGCGTGGATTGTTATAGGAAGATACTTTCCGCGCGTTTGGGAAATGGGGGCATCATCAACAATCAGAAGAGATCTTGCTTTCCTCGCAAAAGCTCATCTCCATTTTGCACACTGGGAGTGCGTGCGGCACCGCGCGCAGACCTACGCCCTCATTTCCTTTCCTGACAGCCATCCGTTCCGCCAGGCAGTCGATGCGCTATGCGGTGATCTGGATTCAGTGAGGTTGGAGCTTGAGCTATGTCTCCATCGGATCGCCAAGGAACATAGGGGGCTTCAGAGGCATTATCAATGGCTGGTGGTTCGAAAATCCTGAAGAGACACTTTTCAAGAAGGATGCAGAGAAGTATTACGACTGTCCAACGTACCAGTTTGGAAGGGGCATAAAGCGGCGGAAGATCATGCCCTTGGCAGGTGTGGGCTACACGCGCCAACTGGAGTCCACGGGGAAGTCCTTCCTCTTCGCCGCCAACAGGCTGGCGGACGTGGCGGCACCAGACGCCAAAAAGCGGCTCGACCATGCGGAGCGGGCTTTCGCGCAGGACTGCAAGCGTGTGCAGAAACAACTCAAGCGTGTGCAGGTGGAGCCGCAGCACAAGATCGACGTGTTGATGTGTCTTCGACGCGTTGGGCTTCCCGGTGAGAACGCGGTTATGGTGCTGGCTTTTCTTGTTTGACGCGAAGCCGCGACCTTGGAAGGGGTCGCGAGCGCCGTGGTGGAGGGTCTTCCGCGTGATGCGGTCCCACGGTGGGACTTGCTCTAGGGCAGGGCTCGCGTTCAGTAGAGCTGCTGCACATTCGCTATGCGGTGCTGCTCATCCTTGGGTTCCTTGTTTGGGGCTTGTCTGCTGCTGGGATCCAGGCACGGGCGCTTGCGCTGGTGCTCGCGCTGGTTGGCCGGGCTTTAAACGGCGTCCTCACGGCCTCTTCGTGCATTGCACTGGTTGCACTGGTTGCACTGGTAGGATTGCTGGTCTTCTGTTGGGAATGAAAGGCAGCGTTTTGCTTGCACTGGTGTTTGCACTGGTGCTTGCACTGGTTGGTCCGGGCTTTAAAAACTATCCTCAGGGCCTCTCCATGCGTTTGCACTGGTTGCACTGGTTGCGCTGGTGGGATTTTCTTCCGCGGTGGGGGGGGGGGGGCGAGTTCCAATTCCTCATGCTCAAGGCTGCACTCTACTTTGTTGAAAGACGATTTTTATTTTTTTTTGGAAACATTACATATATATATATACAGAACAATGACGCCACCCGGCGGCTGGAGATGAGAGCAATAGCTTCGTACGCGCGGCCCCGGAAATTTGAAAAAGTGTCTGCCCCCCCTCCGGAGGGCAACAAATCCTACCAGTGCAACTAGTGCAACCAGTGCAAATGCACGAAGAGGCCCTGAGGACGGCTTCTAAGCCCAGCCCAACCAGTGCAGGCACAAGTGCATGCACCAGTGCTGTAAAGAAAATGTCTGCCCCCCTCCGGAGAGCAACAAATCTTACCAGTGCAACCAGTGCAACCAGAGCAAATGCACGAAGAGACCCTGAGGACGGCTTCTAAGCCCAGACCAACCAGTGCAGGCACCAGTGCAGGCGCCAGTGCTGCAAAGAACGGCTTTGTAAGCCCAGGCCAACCAGCGCAGGCGCATCTGCAACCAGTGCAAATGCACGGAGAGGCCGAGAGACAGCCTGATTGCCGAGAATCAGCCCGTGCATTCACTCGCGCGCTTCCCTTGTTGCGGCGGGAACATCGCTGGAGGGCACTGGTCTCCTCTCGTAGCTTCGTTGGGGCACGATCCGGGTCCGCCCGGAGGCGAATGCCGCTGCCGCGGGCTCGCCAATTTCTGTCTTCCTCGCCGTGCGAAATCGACGGAACCGACAATGGCGATTGCGCGACGAATTCACTCCAGAGGCGCCGAAGTCATGCCACAGGCCACCGCTTCGTTGCAATCCCAGCCCGGCCGCAACCGGAGCATGCGCGACTTCTTAGAAGCCTTCTCGTCTCCAGTCCTGGCCAGATAAGGGTAAACGGTTCGCCTCGTGGGGAACTGAACAGTCACGTCGCCTCCGTTTTCGACTAGGAATTCCAGCGCTCGCTGCAACGCGTCTTTCGTGGAGCGGGAGAAGTAGGGCGGCTTCGCGGCGAAGGCGCAGAGCGCTCTCAGCACTTCTCTCCGCGCCGTGGGCTCACCGGAGGGCGGGCAGCGCACTAAGCAGCTGTTCAAGAAATCCTCGGCCACGCCCTGGTTGTTCACCGTCGTTGCAGGCCCCGCCGCCTCGATCAGTTCCGCTATGGACTCCTTCGAGTACGTTGGCGCTGGGAAGGGCAAGTCGTCCTGAGCGATGTCGCAGCCGCGCGCGACGCAGAGCAGTGCCCATACGTACTCGTGCATCCACTGCTTGGACTCCGCTTTGATCCTCGGATCCTTCAGGATGTGCGACGGGTCCTCCGGGTCGTACTGGTCCGCGGGCACGATGCGGCGTTTGCACGTAAGTATCTGCAAGCGCCTGTCTTCGCCGTCTACCACTGGGTCCTGGAATCGGAACCCCTCGTTGGCAAGGTAGATCACTGGGGGTGGGACGTCGATCTGGCGCTTGCCCTTATGTTTCCGATCGAAGTCAATGCTGTTGCCGGCATGGAAGGCCTTGAAAGTGGCGTTGTTCATGCGCGTGGACCTTGTCCATTCGTCCGAGTAGCCCAAGCGCGAGCCTTCTGCGTTGGCGGCCGCCTCCCAGGGACCGCGTTGGCTTTTAGCGCACATTTCGGCGGAGGTGATCTTGAAGACGAAGCCCATCTGCTCGGGCGGTACGTGCGTGCCGAAGGTCTGCTCGCCCATGTCTCGGCGCCCGCCCTTATTCGCCGAGGCACAGCCGAACTCACAGAACCCGGTGATCCGCTTCGCTTTCTGATGCTTCCCGCTGAAGGCGTCTGCTCGGATCTGCAGGGCACAGAACATATCGCGGACGTTCAGGAAGGGTTCCCAGAAAATGTGCTTCACGCAAGGGTAATCATCAAGGAGATCTTCCAGCCCTGCCCGGAATTGCTCGAAAACGACGTCCCGCCGCTGTTCCATCGCCGCGGTCTTTTCGCCGATGAGGACGTCCGTGAAGGCGACCCATTTCTGGGCGATCGCGCGCGCCGCTTCGGCGCTGCAACCCCTTTTCTTCGTCATGTAGTCCGGGAACTGCTCAATGCGAGCCTTGGAGTGCCGGAGCAGGTTCCACTCCTTGCGCGTTGCGACGTACGCGTTGAATGGGTCGCTCTGTTCCCAGTCGACCGACAGGCCATTCGCGAATGCCGTCGCTACACTCTCCTTCGGATGCGTCTGCATCGGCGGCCACGTCTTCTCCTTGATCTGCGACGCGACATGCTTGAGAAATTGATCGTCCTCGAGCACGTTGCTTGGGTACGGCTTAGGGCGGGGCCGCGGCTTGAATTTGCCATCGTCGCCCAGAGCGGCCTCGAACTCGAAACCCTGCAGCTCCTCTCGCAGATACTTTGTGGTCTTCTCGCCCGCGAGTCCGAGGGCGTTCCTCGAGACCTCCCACACGTTGGTGCTTTCGTTGAGCGTCGCCCATGCCTCATCGTGCAACTTGCGTACGTCCCACCGCCCGGCCGCGATAGTGGCGTACGACCCGTGCGGCGCGTCACCAGGGTTGCCACTGTAGGCATGCGAGTTCGCCTTGAGCCACGCCTCGGCCCACTGCAGGCCATGCACGGGCATGGCACGGGGGGGCGCCGGCCTGCCGACCTCGACGCCCTTGCTGTGCAAAAACTTCACGAGGTCTTCCGGGTTATCGCCCGCCAGCGGCTTCAGCGAGGCGGTGATCCCAGCGTCGGCCAGGTCCCGCTGCGCCCGCCGGAGCGCTTCCAGCGAGCCCGACGGATGGATGGTCGCGTCCCCGAGAAGGCCGACCAATCGGGCACCGTGGCGCTCCGAGACCCGCTCCATCTGGTCCACCTTCACCCTCTCCAGCTCCATTAGCGCGTGCGCCAAGGAGCTTCTGTCGGGCCGGGGCTTGTCCGCCAGCGCGGCCCGCTGTTGCGACGTGGCATTCTGGAAGTTTCGAGCGCATACCTCCTCCAACTCATCGTCGAGCTGGGCGAGGTCGTCTGTGAAGCGCCCTCCCTTCTCCTGGAGATGCATCTTCGTCGGCCAGTGGCCGCCGCCGATCAGACGTTGCAGCGCTCCCTTCAGGGCTTTCTCTGTTACGCAAGCGGCTTCGGCGAGGCGCTTGCGCACAGCCGCGTGCAGCGGCTGCCCCTCAGGGGTCAGGCCATCGACCGCGACGCGCTGTAGCAGGGGGGTAACCACGCCCAATGTCGCCGCGAGTTCCTTGGCGCAGAACATCCAGGATGAGACAAGGTCGAATTCTACGCAGCCGAACAGTACGACAGCCCGGAACGTGCTCTTCATCTGCGCCGCGGACATGCCAGCCAAGGTGCGCGGAACCTTCGCGTCGATTTCTTGCTGAAGGGACGCGGGCCCTCCGCCTTCGGATGGGCGCCCGCTGACGAGACGGCTCTCCTGGATACCCAGGGCTATTGCGCCACGCCCGAGCCGGGAGACATCCCGCGTCGCCCGAACGTCGGCGCGCGCAGGCGGCCCTGACGCCTCCACGCGCTTCAGCATAACCGCTGCGAGGACGTCGAAACGGTACCCACTGCCGTCGTGGCCCCACCGCTGCGTCGCCCATGCTTCGTCGCCGGCCATTTTCTCGAGCATGTAACTCACTGGCGCAAACATGACCCGCTGCCCCGGCAGCGCGTCGACGCCTCGCTCCGCAGCCCCACCGGGCGGAGTTGCCGAGAATGCGTCGGCGAAAGGCGTGCGACCATGGAAGTCGCACTGTTCCCTCTTGGCCTTGTTGAGTAAGATGTCGCGCACCTTGCTGAGATAGAGGTAGATCTGCGGATCGCCACCCTTGTCTGGATGGTGCTTGAGGGCGATTCCTCTGAAAGCGCGTCGGATCTCAGCGTTGGTGGCGCTGGGCTGCACGCCCAGCGTGTCGTAGAAATTCATGTCCTTGAGTGCGGCCAGGGGCGCCTCTGCGTCGCCACGGTTGCTCGTGGCGGTCGGCCCGCCACCGCTCTCTGCAGCGGGCGCCGCGCGGGAGGCGCCGCTCCTGATTCTCTTGCGCCCGGACCACTGTTCGACGATTGCTCCCGCGCCCTCTCTCGCTGCTTCGCTGGGCGCAGCTCCCGTGTTGGAAGTTGCCGCTGGCACCCGAACATGGTATGTTCCTTCGGTGGCGGGCGGTTCCCGGGGTGCGGGATCCGCCCCGGCCTCTGTGCTCGAGCCAGTGCCCGCTTTTCGTCTTTTGGCTGGCGGTTGCTTTACGGTGACGTCCGCGGCGCCGTCCTGTTCGGTAGTCGCGCGCGCGCTGCGCTGCAACGGCGCCTCGGCAGGGTCTCGAACCCGCCCGCGCGGCTCCTCGAGGCCCTCTAGCAGACCCGCCGGGCGTGGCCTGTGCTTGGCTCGGAGGCCGCTGACTGCCTTCTCAAGGCAGAATGCGCAGTTTGAGGGAGGCTCTTGTAGATGCATATGCCTATATTCTGCGAATGTCGTTGTTGCCGACGGCTGGTTGCTGCCAAGGTGCCCCTGAAAGTAGACGTACTTGGCCGGAAGGATGTACTCGGGGTTGGACCAGTCGATCTGGAGATCATGAGCACGCAGTTGCGTCTCCTCATAGAGTTCCCGCGTTGCGCAGGCGCGAACTGACTCCCCATGTTCGCGCTTTCCACCAGGCAGCGACCACTTCTGCTTGATCGGATCCCAACCGACCAATATCGTCCCATCTGCGGCCCGGAGCACAACTCCCGCCGCTGCGACATCAAGGAAGCGAGTCTCCCGCCCAACGATGGTTGCCCCGGCCTGGTCGTTCCTTGCAATTGTGCTGGCATGGGGCTGCACCTCTGCGTTACGTGGAAAGGCGCCCGCAAGGCTGGCCTCCGCGGGCATAGCCTGCATTTCTGCGATGCTGCTGGGCGTCGACGCGATTGCCGACGGCGCGGCTCGCTGCCCGGCCAAGTCTGCCGCCTCCGTTGCTGGCTGCGCCGCGGCACCGCAGTCCAGGCAGCGCCCTTCGAGCAAAATGGGGTGTTCACAAATGGCGCAACGCGACTGGGTCGACGCGCCTGCCAAATGAGGGTTGGTGATTGTCATTGGCTGTCAGTGAATTTATCTGACGATCCTTCTATATGTCGGACATCTGGACGCAGCACGGTGTTGGGTAGCTGCTTCCTGCGTGGCTTGGCACCCCTCATGCGACGCTTTTCTGCAAGTTTGGCTATGTTTTGATCGCGGCGGCCGTTTACGTTCGCGGCGTACTTGTCCTTACGTCCTTGGCGCCAGATGTCCTTTAGCGCAGCCTCGTGGTCTTCCCTCGCAAAGACGCGCAGGCTCTCCGCGTGGACGAAATTTCCGTCTTTCCAGACGTGGCCCTTGGGCGGCCGTCCTCTCGGCGCTCGTTCGCTGGGCACCATTTCATTAACGATCGCGCAGAGCATCCTGGTGTCTGGCCGCGCGGGCGGCTACCTCGAGAGGAGCGTGAGAGCGCAGCTGGGGATTTCTCAATCCGAAAGCTGTTGCGGCTCGGTTTTGCGCCCGCTCTTCGGGTGCCTACAAGGCATAACTCACGACGTCTCGCGCCACACATGTCGGCAGTTGGCGGAGGCGCAGGAGCAAGTCGAATTTGTCTTGCGCGCACAAGGGCTGTGCCGCCAAAAGCTGCTCGGCCGCGGTGAAGTTTTTGCGGAACATCCTCTCCAGGGTCTGAGGGAGGGGTCCTCCGGGCATTGCAGCGGCAGCAGCTCGGTTCTGGTGCGGTGCGCATCGCTCAAGTAGAAGTGAACCACCCGCGTCTCGAGGGCACCGGGTTCGCGGCAGAGAACCGTCGCAGCCGTCCGCGACCCACACGTAAAGAAGTGGGCCGTAGGCCATCCGAGCGTTTCCGCATGCCCGGAGGGGCCGTAAGAACAGCAGAGCAAAGGAAAAGGCGGGCGGAGACCGAGCGGCGACGGTTCACGAAAAAGCGTGTAGCCGAGCTCCGCGCCCTGCTTCCGGAGCTGCCGGATGGCTCGCTGGCGGAACTGCGCCAGCTCTCCGTGGCCGTGCGTCGCGCGGGCGCAAAGCAGAGCACCTTGGTCGCGTTCAGTCAAGTAGAAAGTTCGTCTGGCACCTTATCAAACGACCAGCCGCTCTGCGTGGACAGTGCGGCAGTCGACGCTCGCGGCGCGCCGTAAGGCGTTCCGCCCGAACGTGGACGGATTTGCGCCCTCCTGAGCGGCGCGGCATGCCCCCCGGGCGCTTCCGCGAGGCCGCGGTGACTGTGACAGTTACGGGCGCGGTTTGCGGCTGCACGTACACTTTCGCAGATTTGCGCGCGACCGAGACGGTCTGTGGCCTGAAGCGACAAATCCAGGCCAAGTGCGGCATGCCTCGCTCCCAGCAGCGCCTCCTGCTCGGGGCGCGCGCGCTGGGCGACGACGTCATCCTGGCGAGCTTGGAGCCGCCGCTTCACCTCAGTCTCGTCGTGGTGCCCTACAAAGAGAACGAGGAGACGAGCGAGTCCGTCGTGTATTCGATCTGGACAAATAACATCGGCGACCTGGAGCGGGCGCTCCGCCTACCGGCAAACCCCAACGGGCCGCCGACTCGCCCTGCCGACCAAGAGTCGCCGCTGTATGCCGCGACTTATCACGGCAGTCCAGCCATGGTGCAGCTCCTAATCGACGCCCTTGCAGACCCACACATTGGTTGCAACTACCATGGCGCGCAGCTCCTAATCGACGCCCTTAGAGACCCAAACATTGGTTGCAACTACCATGGCACGCAGACTACGTGCCTCCATGTGGCGGCGCTGTGCGGGTGCGCAAATTTAGTTCGAGCCCTTTGCGTTGGCAAGGCCGACGTGGGCAGCTTTGATCAACGCGGGCGGTCCCCCATGGACCTAGCCATCGACGAGGGGAACGAAGAAGCCGTGTTGGAGCTCCGCGCGGCTGGCGCGGCGTGGGACGTCTCCTGGGAAGCTGCTTTGAGGAGAGCGGTGCGATCACAGAGGCGGAATTGTGAGCTTCCGGGGTATCTCGAAGATTCTTCCGAGATCAACTCCGAGCGCATGTCGCCTCGTGGTGATGAGGCCTAAAGCACGGCGCGTCGCCGACCCCCCGTCCGGCGAGGCGGTTTGCAGGAACAGCGGCAACTGCTCATGCGGTCCGCGGCAGAGAACCGCCGAGATGTCCGCGACTTACATGTAAAGGAGGGCCGCAGGCCAGCTGGGCTTTTCCGCATGGCCGCAAGAACGGCGGAGCAGAGGCGTAGGCGGGCGGAGAAGGAGCGGCGCCGCTACACGAAGGAGCGTCTGCTCCATCTGCAATCTCTGCACCCGGGTTTGCCGCCTGACGTGCTGGACCGCGCAGCGTTGCGCCAGCTCTCCGTGGCCGTGCGTCGCGCGGGTGCAACGCAGAGCACCTTGGCCGCGTTCAGACATGTTGAAAGTTCATCTGGCCCTTTGTCCAAGGACCAGCCGCGGTGTCTGGATCAAAAGGTAGCCGACGGCGATCTGGTCTTCGCAGCTTCGCTCGACGCCCTGCGCGGTATGTAGAAGGGGCAAGCAACGTAGCAGATGTAGCAACTCGGCGCTGCTTCTCGCGCCGCGAACCGTTCATGGCAGCTCGACGGTTACACGGCGGCGGCAGCGTTGTATCCTCGGACGATAAACGATTCCTCGGATATCCATATTGAGCACGCCGTCCTGCACGAATACAGGCTCTCTGCCGTAGAGAAGGTAGGCGTGCTGGCTGCCTACAATCACGCGCGGATCCTCCGACTCAAATCTGCGCTTTATCGCCGGCAAACCAAGACCGTTGCAACGTGAAGCGAGTGCCGAGGCAGCGCTCACTAAACGCTGCATGACACGTTCGTGCTGCTCCGACCATCTGTCACTGTGAAGTCTCACGACGTCGGCCCCTGGAAATTCTTTCAGGTCGTTCTCTCGGCAATCCTCCATTTCCGAGAGCAATGTTATTCGCTGAGCGCTGCCTGCGTATGCGGAGAAGTCGGCGCGGATTCGCGCCACCCCCCCGGCCTCGGCAGCCGTTGCTGAGCACGGGCGTCGAGAAGAAATGCAGGCGCTCTTGGAATTCCTGCATGGTGCGCAGGTCCCGACGCAGCGCCGGGGCAACGTCTGCGACGAGCCGGTGCGCTCGATTACGGTCGGTGCCGTGCCGCTGCGCCGGGGCGGCTTCGGAGTCAGCCGGGCTACGTGCTCCTTCCGCGGGGAGCTGGCGACGCGGCTTCTGGCCCTGCTGCGGGGCGACAGCATCGCCGGCGATGCGCCGGACTGCTTTACGTCCATCTGCTTGAACGTTGACTTCGCGGCCTTGCCGCGCGTGGACCGCGCCAACGTGGGCGAGAGTTGGATCCTTGGGATGGGGAGCTACGAGGGAGGCCAGCTCTGGGTGGAGGGCGACGGCGAGGAGTTGTTCAGCGGCATGCGGGGGTCGCGGCACGACATCCGCCACCGCTGGCACAAGTTCAACGGCCAGCGAGTCCACGCGACTGACGGCCACAGAGTGAGCGTCGTTTTCTTCACCCTCCCGGCGGCCGGTCGCGTCTCGCTGGTCCTGCGCTCGCTAGGCTTCCGCGCCCCGTCGCAGATCCCCCTCGGCGCCCCACCCGCCTACCGAGTGTTTATTTGTTCCACGCGTCGGGCGCAGGGCCTGGTGCGCGACGCGCTGCCCGCGCTCTTCGCCGACGGCAGCGCCCCCCCGTCGGCGGTCACGCTGTGCCTGCGTGACGGTGAGGACGTGGCTCGCTACGGCGATTTGCCCCTCGACGTGCTCGTGGGGCCGCGCCAAGACGCCGGGCTTCCGGCGCAACGACGCGCCTGCTTAGCTGGTCGGCCCGAAGGCTCTTGGAATCTGTTCCTGGACGACGACATCCGGAACTTCGCGCTCGCTGGTGCTGGGACGACGCTCAACGAGCTGTTCACCCACGCCTTCCTGATGGCCGAGCACGCCGGTGTGAGGCTCTGGGGTTTGAATACGTCCGCGAACGAATGGAACCTGCGGGCCGCGACGTCCCGCGCTCCAGGCCTGGTGAACGGCTACTGCTACGGCGTCATCCAGGGAGCGCAGCCTGTGCCTCTGCCGCACAGTGACGCGCACTGTGGAGCTGCAGAGGATGTGGAAAGATCGCTGCGCTACTACGCGGACGGCGGCATCCTGCGCCTGAGCTGGGCCTGCGCCCAGGCTCGCGCGCGCAGCGACGCGGGCGGCTTGCAGCGCCAGTTCGCCAGCCGGGCGGAGCGATCGGCCGCGCACGACGCGGTGGTCCGGCTGCTTTGTGCAGAGTTCCCCGCGTTGCTGGCGGCCAAGCCCGGCGCGCCGAACGGCTGCGTCTTTCGGCGCGGCGCCGAACGCGCAGTTACGAGCGGCGATGGTGACGCGAGCGACGCGAGCGACGTGAGCGACGCGCCGAGCGAGGGCGGCAGTGTCAGTCTCAGCCGACCGGCTTCCGAGGCCGCGCGCAGCGACTCCGGCGACGACGCGTGCGAAAGACGCCCGCTGTCCGCGCGCTCCAGCGAGAGCGTCGCCGCCCCGCGCCCAGCGTGCGCGCCTAGTAGACGGCGCGTTGCAGCGGCGCGCGTGTACTGCTCAAGGGTGTTCGCGCGGCCGCAGAGCCTCGCGCACCACATCGCCTACGAGCACTCCGAGCCGCCGCCAAAGCACGAGTGCCCGCGCGGCGGGCGGCTCTTCCGACAGAAGAAGGACGCCCTCGCCCACCTCAGAGGGCAGCGGGATACGGCGAGGCAAGCACCGCGCCGAGTTTGCCCGCGTAGCCGATAGTTGAACGGCCGAGCGCCGGATTCCGGGAAAAGGATGGCGCCGGTGCGTCGCGTTCACCAGGTGTTCTTCCGCTTTCACCCGGATGGCCGGATTCTGGAGGACTATGCCATGTTCGTCGCCTCACGCGATGCGTTCGCGGCGATGGACGGGTGGGTTTACCGCCTGTGGGACGAAGAAGCGGTGGACGGCCTCATTCGCGAGCGCTACCCTGCTCTCTTCGATGCCTACCGCGGGCTGCGGTACCCAATTCAACGCGTCGACGTCGCGAAATATGCGATCGCCGATGCGCACGGCGGGGTGGTGTGCGATCTCGACGTGCTCCCGCGCTGTCACCTCGACGACATCGCGCTTTCGCCTTGCACCTTCGACCGGTGCTCGCGGGGCAACGTAATTGCCAACGTCTTCATCTACACAGAGACCGGGCCCCCGGGGATCTTCGACGAGTTCGCGGCGAATCTGGCTCGCGTCGAGGCCATCCCGGTGTATGCCCGCTGGAAGATGCGTTACGTGTTCCAGACAACGGGCCCAGACTTCCTTACGCGCTACGTACCTGAAGCGCGCCGGCCTGGCTCGCTACGCCCAGCGCCTCTCTGCGCGCTCCTTCCTCGACCCCAGGCAGGGGCACCGCGAGGTTGTCTGTCCCGATGCCAAGCTTCAGG